AAATTCCAATGACCAGAGAAACGGGCATGTTTTACACGCTTTTCAACAAGTTCGCCTTAACCGGCAGATTCGCACGTCTCTCGATTATAGAGAATGAAAGCAAAAAACTAATTAAAACGGTTACAAAGCAGCAGCCGCGTACTTGAAGTCATTGTCTTCTGTATCTTCCCAATCACACAATCACACTATGCAACAAATCAATCGAATCCAATCCAAACGCTTACCAATCGTAGCTATTAAAACTTCATACTGACTTTGCACTGCTTCAGGCTTAGTGCTACTTAAGCATAGCGCAACTGGCTGATTAGAGCTAAATAGTTTTGCTCTCAGCTGGCTAACTGGTTCTATTAAATGAGCAAATTAGCTAATGAAAACTTCAATTATCTAACAGGCTAGTCAGACAGACTAGCTGGCTTGGCTAATGAAAGCCAAGCCAGCTTGAGCTGTAAAGCTACAGTGTCAACTGTGATTGGCCACTGACTTACAAATGACGGGCTACATTGTATCTTACACTTCCATAAATGGAGCATATTTATGCTTTAATTAGCAATTTTAATTATCTGCCAAAGCATTTAATTATTGTCATTTACAATTATTCCAATTTAATTGTAATTAGAAAATGTTTGCATTTTTTAGATACGTGAAAAAGCCAGCATCCTGTTTTTATCGCATAAATTAGGCAGTTTAGATGACGAACGGTTACTTAATCCTTGATTAGTCTGTGATGTGTATAAAATAGATTTGTAGAAAAAACATGCAATTTGGAGTATATTTATAAGCGCCTTTTATGACTAGTATATTTCTTTAGTAGTTTCTTTTTTGTATGATTCCTAGGATTACCTAGTATGGACTTGTTAATGAAATGGTTCAAAAAAAGTGATATGAAGATAACCGTATATGCATAGCCATTTCTTAATACAACACGCTATATAAAGTAGAGCTAAGCTAAAACAAAAAAGCAGATTTGACTCCTTATCAAACGCTATTAAGTATTAATTTCAATATTATTTATTAGTAGTAAATTTATACCGACTAATTATTTTTACTTGCACAGCGCCACAGAGTCGTACACCCACTTTCCGGGGCATTGGATTGTGGTCTGTGCCATCTATAACACAAATACACATTTACTCTGTGCAAATAAAAGTTTTTTTGTTAATTTTTTCTTGCCGATATTGACGCGTCTTTATGACGAAAAGAAACTATTTAAAAGTTAGACGGATTTGAATAGCAAAGAAAAGACAAGAACAAAAATTTGTTTAATTTATTGAAATTTGGCTGACTATATAACGCTGTTTCAAGTATTGCCAAGTACTCTTCATCAATGGTCTTAGGAAATGATCGAATTTAATTGTTTATAGTCCGTATATAATTTGTTTGGATTGCAAGTGCCAGGCTTGGAACTCGTGCCTTTGCTATTCAAATAAATCCGTCCAACTTTTAAAAAGTTTTTTTTTTATATATACATATTATTTATATACAATCTGTTATATAAAATTCAGTATTAAAATGGAATAAAATGATATATAGACATGTGCGGGGCACTCAGTAGCACACACTGCTAAATACAAATAACTAATTACCCTAAGCTACAAAAATTATACTAAATGAAAGGATTACAATATTATTATCATCGTCTATAAGAGGAGTACAGAGACTGATTTACCTACATGATTTTCTACACAATACTTTCAAAAATCCCAATAGCAATAATGATGTGGGCTTTGGTTGTTCAAATGATAAGAAAGAAAATAAAATAAAATAAGAATATTACAGCGTTATACCGGCGGCACTAAAGATCCATGCAAGCCTATATTAATTCTGTTAAAAAAATAAATAACACTTGTGGCTCTAAACATTTAAATTACGCGGCTTTTATAGGCAACTTTCAACGTTTAAGCTCCAAAGCTCTTTCTAACGCTCTTTACGTTCTTTCGTCAGCATAAGCATACGGTCTTTACCTGTACAGTCCTTATACGTTCTTTGTTGGTAAGTTTATGTACTAAAAAACATTACATTTATATAAATCTTTCCTACAGATGGCGCTATAACGACGTGTTTAGCAAAGACATAAACCAAAACTTAACTAGACACGAACGATTCAAAACAGGGCGTTGTGAAATAAAATAAATTTATATATAATTATTTGAGAATGACTTATTTAATTACTATATTTCAATATAAAATAGATTAATAAATATAAAATAAATTTTCAATATATACAATTTTTTTTTAAAATGCTATTAACTAATAAAACATCTTAATTAAAATTATTTATACACATGCAAAAATTTTAACATATGATATAGATAAAAATATCAACTCTGTTGGTTTGTTTACAAAATAGAGAAAATTTTTCTTCTCTTGTACCCACGCACACGAATAAACAGCAGCAAGTAGAATTGCAAAACAATATGGTAAAGTGCCGTGCAGAGTACGTTTTCAATTCAGTTGAGTTCGAAGCGTTATGTGAAGACTGTCGTCGGCCGCGAGTTTTTTCGGAAAATCAACTTGAACGCGTACAAAAGTGCTGCCGTGTTTAGTGCACACACACACCTACACGTACGTGCGTGTAAATATTTGTGTATACAAGCAACAGCAGAAATAGAAGTAAGAAAAAGTGTGTAAAGCAACAAAACAAAAGCAAATAAAAAAAAATAGTAAATAAAAATTTTCATAGCAATTTTCCGACGCCTGCGTTTTTGGTAACAAAATTGCAAAAATAAGTTTTTGCGTCGCCGCGTAATCACGTCTTAAAACAATTATTTAATTTTTTTGTACAATTTATTTTTATACAATGCATAACAAATATGTAATAAATTAATATTATTAAATTCAGTTTTGCTGTATTTTGTTATTTTTTTTTATATGTATTAACTGAATTAAATTTATTTTTTTAAAATTTCACCGAAATTACTTTTGTTTACGTACGCCGCGTTTCGACGTCTCTTAAGTGCAAAGAAAGTTTAAGGCAATTCGAAATAAAACAAAAAAATTATACAAATTATGTGTCAAAACAATTAAGTGTATCAGCTTCTAAATAATTAGAGTATTAATTAATAAATGAAAAAAAAAAATATTAATAAAATATTTTAAAAATATTCCTAAATAACTACGAGCAATATAAACTTGTCCCAAATTTAAACAAAACTTGTTTTGTCTGCCTTTTACGTTTCTTATGTTATTTTACCACACCTTACACTTTACACCCTGCGCCCATCGGCACTTGTACTGCTGTTGTTGTAAGTGCCAAAACGGCGGCTTACCTCAGTCTAACTCTTAATAATTTGTCGTATTTATATTTTGTTTTTGTGTTGAATGTTTAGCGATTCCTGTTTATTTCTTCGATTTGCCCATTTCAAAATATAATCTTGGCTAAAATCATATTGTCTGCTATAGGCAGGGCTTATAGGTAACCGTCTCCCTCCGCGAACATTACAGACATCGAGTTTGTTTGCAGTTAATCACATGCAAAGATTTGTTGCTCTTAAGGCAACTTTTTGTTTTTGTTTCTGGATTTGGATTGGTGTCTGCGAAAATAACAAAGCAAATTAAAAGTGAAGAAAAATGGTGTTTTTATTAAAGAATTTTTGATACAACAAAATATAAAAATATACTAATTTATTATATTTAATTGTTCAAATATTTTATTTAATGTCTATTTTTTTGAAAATAATAAGCCAAGCACATTTAATTCTATACTAAAATATTCTTGGCTTACTAGTCACTCTCACACATTTAAATCTGCATTGTTGCCATCCTTCGCAAATAAATATTTCAGTTTTATAGCAAAGATGTGAACAAAAATTCTTATATATTATTTGAATATTATTTGTTTTTGAATATTAGCTCTGTAAATAAGTATAGCATATCATATACAAGAAAATTAAATATATATTATTTTAATAGTAGTTACATATTAGTATTGAATAGTTATTGTTACAATAGTAGAATAAAATTTTAAAATAAAAAAACTAAATTGAGAAATCATATAATTATTCCTTAACTACAATTATTATTATTATCATGTTATATTGTACCAATTGGTTAATTACATTCAACTTGTTATAGATTCTTTAATTATTAATACCCAACAAGTTGAACGTTATTGACCAATTAGCCAAATATAACACAATAATTGAGAAATGAACACAGTATTTATCGTATTTTATTCAACGACAACTCTTCCACAAGATTCAAGTGAACGTGTGTCTCATAAGATTTTCTGTTATTGATATTCTAAATTTATGACAGTATTCCTTTCCACAGTTGTTATTAACAAATTTTCCAGTTATGTATATTTTATACGTTGATAACTATTAATATAGTCTTTAATAAGTGCATCAAAAGCTTTCTATATGTATTATATTACATCACATAAGTATAAGTTTAGCTATTTATATAATATTTAGGTGCCTATTCATATAAAAATCAATAGCGATAAGTCTGCAATGGCCATCTAGCAATAACCGCATTAGTCATCCAATTCTGTCCGTTCATACTTATTAAGCATGTTTATTTTACATTCTTAGTATAATAATCATTCATGTTCTTAAATATCTAATTAGTTTATAATAATATTAATGTATAATAAAATAAACTTATTGATATCACAATAACTGAACACCTTTATATTATTTTATTGATAATGGCAACCCTAATTTACTTTGCGTGCGAAACTTGTCTTTGTTGTAATTTTTTCTTCTCTTTTTTCAACTACAAGCCACGATGGGCAGGTGAAACTATCATTTACATATGTTTATGTAAAGTAATTTTTTATAATTTTAAAAATACCATTATTAATTCTATATACTATTGTATATATATATATATACTAAATATAAATCAAAAAAAAATTTTTGCTATATACAGTAAATAATAAGACTAAACAAAATTTTGATTTGTACTGCGTCAATGCAAATGGCATACCTGTCATCATCAAGTGTCAATAGTTCGTTTAAGCCTCTCTTTTTCACTCACACACACACACTCTCTTATTTAAGAACAAGCATATAAAAATATATTAAAAATAGTCATCACTCTTCTATTATCTTCCCACCAATCTAATTTATGCCACAATGTTTTTATTTATTTATTTTTTTTTTTTTTTGTTATTTAGTTCAACACAAAAAAATAATGTAAAAACGAATACAAATTTAGTACTTAAAATATAAAAAATAAAAAGAATTTATAAATTTAAACATATCAAAAAGGAGAAGAAAAAATCGAATAACATGAAATCATGTTTTCGATCAATTTAAAAACTACTTGAAACAATTAAAAAAAAGACCAAGAATTAACGCACATATTCATTTGGTTAATAAATAAAATTCCACGACAAAATTTTTATACAAAAAAAGAAATAAAATTAAATTTAATTAAATTTAAAACTTGGTTGAGAATATGACGACTACGACCAAAAGCAACAACAAAGACGGCAGCAAAATGTCTGCAGCAACAACGAGAAAAACAGCATTTCGGATAAAACCACATTCACAGCGACGAAGTCTACAAATAAAGCAGCAGCCACAGCGAAATTTACTCATTGGATTAATTTTAACAACAATTTGCGCACAGGTAAGTTCACCTTTGTGTCTTAACTGCTTAATATAGGAAAAAAAGTTGTTTAATTCGAAATTTATGTAGTACCCAATGTAAGGGAGTAGTAGTCTAGTAGCTACCGGGAGTGTTTACACGTAGTATGTAGAGTTTACTTTACTTTATGGATTTCCCTTTTTACACGCGGACTGTTTTATTGCAATGGAATTTCGCAGTGCACGTAAATTGTTTTTATTATCCAAAATCAAGTCGACCGCTTTTAGGAATAAAAATCTTGTTTTTTTTATTTAATTTAAATTCAAAGAATTCAATTTTGAAGGTCATTATTGCAATCGAATCTTTTAAAGAAATATATGTATCTTTCATATAAATCTTGTTTAAAAATAAACTACTTTGCATAAAGTATAACATGTCTACCTATACTATATTGATTGTATCTTTGCATTGTTTTACTCATAGTGATTAATTTTAGCAATTAAAATTAATTGTAGTAAATCAAACGTAGTGATTATATATGTAATTTTTTTAAGTAGTATTTTTTCTAACACAATTTTTTTCCATTTTCAAGGTATATATTTCATTAATTATCTTCGTTTTGCAATTCATAAATAATTATAGTCTTTCCAAAATTCATTTCTGTTATTTCACATAGCATACGAGTGCAATAATTGTAGAGCAATGATACGAAGTCCATCTAGAAACTATACTTACCGATATGAATTTGGTATAATTTAATAAATTTATACCGTATTTTATATATATATATCTCAATCTCAATGTTTGTTCATATACTTACGTAAATATATATTTATATATATTTAATTATACTACACTTGTGTTATTTGGTAAAAACATAGTTACACGTTTCTTATGATTCATGAGAGTCTGTTCTACAATTCAAAAAAATGTGTGTTAGTCTATGGAAATTCTTAAAAGCCACTCAAAAGAACACAGTTGACATATTTGCTCTTAAGGTTGTAATACAAAGCAGACCGCGAACGCAAAATACAAACTAGAAAAGTTTAAATTTTAATAAGCGCAAGCATACACTCCATTTCAAATACACTCATTAGCTTGTTATTCACATGTCATCTCTGGTGATCTGTGCGTCATACATATAACAACTGTTTTTGCTTAACTAGATAGGTGAAACAATGCAGAAACTCAATTGAAGGTCTAGCTTTTTCAAGATAGACAATGTACAAAATTCCACCTGCATCACAAAATAAATTGATCTATAGCCAGATAATTGTTCTAGCAGTACTTTATGGGTGTGTCGCGTATAGCAAAGCTGCCGACTCTACTATCCAGAAGCTATAATTTTCTCAAAGTTAGGCCTTCCAAAGACTCTTCAAAGTGCCATGTTACATCCGCACGAATGACATGCTAAGAGACCTTAAAATAGATCGAGGCAAAAAATACATAAGGGACAGAGCCCTGAAGCTATATCTGAGAACCGAGAGGCTGTCCTACTTAGCACTATCTAATCTCAGAATAATCACTAACCGCACGGGGCGGTACGCAGATCTTAGATCATTCATTGAATAATCAGGATGCTTATGAAAAATACACAAATTAGTCAGTGAGATGAGTGGGACTCTGCAGAAATCCCCCAGCTATCAAAGAGTAAAAGTCCCCAGATGCATTACCTCAGAAAAAGCTCTACAAAATAACCATAACCATAACCTTACCAGCTGACTGTTATGTTTTTGACCGTTTTGGGCGAATTTCCCCGGATGCTCTCCACACAGCTAAATACCAATTCGATTTTCATCATAAACAGTTGTTTGTGCAAGATTTGAATAGTTTTATTCAAACTTCCCATATAAGTATGGTTTAAGTGCAAGCCTACTACAGATTCCATGCCATAACTAATGGGCCTGTTACACTAGTCTACTGATTTGTTTTGTAAAAGAATTATGTGAGGTTTCCGATATGAGCTCCTGATAGTTCTTCACGGTACTCACAAATTGATTTGTTAAGAGTTGTAGCTCTGCTCCTTCTTAAGTCTGGAAATCTGCAGGTTAGTTGAGATTTTGTTTATTTAAACTTAAATAATGTAAATTAATTGATGAATAATTTAGTATGATTCACTACAATTCTTTGATGTAGGTACGTATGTGGGGGCCTACCAAAATAATAAAAGTTAATTCATACAAAACATGATTTTTTTATGAAATTTTTTTTTAAATTTATAATTTAGTTTTGTTTCCTTTTAAGTATTTTAATTCGATTTAATACGTTCTCTGGTTTATTTTAGTAAAAGTCTTGTTTAACCTTCACAAACACAATACCACTTAACCAACTCTATATCCTACTCCATCAGTATCGATGAGTAAGTTAAACACTTCAAATTTTACCTTCGGCTATGCACTTTTAGCAAGCAATAAAATTCAAGCGATATTATTCGATTCACATCATTCAATTTCAATTGTTTGAAATAAATTAATACAATTAAATAACAAAATAGATACAAACAATAAAGGAATCGACAAATGTGAGTTTGTTTACATAGACAAACCGCCTACGCACTTCGTGCTGTACAACGGCACTATCGGCAGCAATAGAGGCAGTGGAAGTAGTGGAAGCAATGGAGGCAACAGCTACAACACCCAATACAAGTCCAACCACAAAAGTGAAAAGCAAAGTCAACTTAATTCATTCAAAGCCAATGCGCTGCCAATGGCAACAAACCACACTTCACCTCACCACTTAAACTATTTCTGTTTGTACAATATATAGTTTTTTTTTGTATATATTTATATAAAGCTACACATATCTACACATGTATAATTGCATATATTTATATCTATAAACATTATCAGTTAATACGAGTTTAGTGCATGATACTTGAGGCTAATATCGCTCCGAAATATACCAAAACAGCATTTGGCCGGCTGCGTTGGTTCATGCAGTTTTCTGGCTACAAATCGCTTTACTGCACTTCTGGCCAAATAAATTTCAATGCGAATGCTATTTAACAGATACAGAGAAGAAAAAAAAACCCATACACTCTGGCAGCAGAACAACTCTCTGGTAGTGGCTGGTAACTGCACCGAGCCACAGATACCGGCCGAAACTATCCTGAATTGATTGTGTTGTTGGGTTGGCACATATGAAGTTTGAATGCAATTATTTATTGCATTAATTGTGGTTCATTTATAAACTTTGCGAAATTGTCTGATTATGAAATTAACACACATGCACTTTGCACTGGAATCTGCTTTTATTTATAAACTCGAATTTACTAATGCAGTTAATAAATTATTATTTAGATATTTATTTTAATTGGCATTCGCAATTAATAGCAACTCACAGCAAATCATGCAATTTGATTGCTCAATTATTTATGCGGCTTCTAAAATAATTAAATAAATTAATTATTATGAAAATATCTGAAATTTTTATTTTTATTTTTAATTTTTATTTCAATTAAAGTGAAATAAAAACAACGAAAAAACTGAAAGTTATTTTATTTATTTATTTTATGCGGTTTAATTTCACTTTTGATACGATTTGCTCTACCATTTTGTTATGCCTTTGGTTTTTCATTGTGCGTACGACGTACTGATGATGGTGATGCGATGTGGTGGCCATAAAAAGGTGTGGCGGTTCACAGCATCTTTGTTCATTTTTTTTTTTAATTTCTAAGCTTTAATGGTTTTCTTCGATAACTGAAAGTGAATGTCCAAAAACCGACTTGCCGCTCCAAATTATAAATCTCTTTATAATGCTTTTATATTTCATATAAAACTTTTGACAATTTATTTTGTTATATATAAAAGTTTATTATAATATTTATATAAATAATTATAATATTAATTTTCATGCATTTATTCATTGTTTCGCAATTCCACACGCAATGAGTTTTCGAACTTAACCTGCTTCATCTTTCTACACAAAAATATTAATTGTTTACGTTTAGTCAAAATTTCAGGGTCTTTGAACGTACAATTAGTCTATTTGGTCTAGTTTTTCTCTTTTGATATTTTTGTCTGCTCTGGTATTATTTTATGCAATTGAAGCGTGGCAAGTCAAAAGTAATTTATTACTATTTTTTTTTTGTTTAAAGTAACTTACGTTTTTAATTTTTAGCTTCACCGCTACTGAATTACTACCAACGAAATAAATGACTTTAACATTTTTAAATGGAATTAATGAAAAAATTAATTTCGCAAAAAAAAAGAAATAAATTAAAAAACGAATTTATTATAATAAACTCTATACTAGCATTGACCTGTGCACTTCGCCGTTACACCTAAAACTTCTAAAATATAGTGAAACTACCGCCAATCTTGTTTGGTGGTGCCCTGCGTTTGCAAGAAAACGAGTCCACTATTACGATTTTGCTTTCATTATATTAAATGAGGTCTGGGACCTATAACTACGGTGATGCATTCCATTACTATCCTTACTAGGGTATCATCAAATCCAATAAGGTCGAGGATCTAGGTCTAGAATTAGGTTGGTGCACTGAAATTGCCAGAAAAAGAGTCCACTACCTTCATTTTAATATCAGTGAATCGAATGAATGAGTCTTGAATCTATAACCAAGACACATATTTAGGTTTTTATTTGTCTTCATTTGTTCAGATCAATTTATGAGACTGTTAGAGATAGCTTAATAGATCTGATTGATCCCAATGTGGCTTTAACCCTACCGATAAAAAAATACACCTAAAGTGTTTGCCGTAAGTTTATTTTCAACAAATATATACCAATAGTTTCTTAGGAGTTTGCATATATACAACTATAAAGCTATTGTATTAAACTTAATATAAATTCAATATACATATTATGACTATAAAAAGAAATATTAATGTTATGGATATTCTATGGACTCTAACAGCAAATGAAATTATATATGTGACCCGTACTGGGATACAAGTGGCGATAATTGCAGAGGAAACAATTTTAAGTTTTTAAACCGACCTAAAGATTAGTTTCATAATGATTAGTTTCATAAATGCGCAAAGTCACTTTAAGGAGGAGCATATCCAAAAGAAAGAAAGTAGTCC